AGAACAGGCAGATCGACGAAGTACACTGCTGAGGGGAGCAGTGGGTGGGTCAGGAGAGGTCTGCCTTGCCATGTGGATCTCCTCTGGGGCAGGCGGGGATCGGGGATTGAACTCATGCCGAAATGGCTTAAGCTTCTTAGTCCAGTGCTCTAACCTGCTGTGCCACCAGGCAGGGCCCAACCAGTCCTTAGGTTTTAAATACACAAATTGACATTTTAAAAGAAATGAATAAAAAAGTTGACCTGTACCTTTCTTTCAATTCCTTTCTCTTTTCTGTGTTTTTACTTTGTTCTTCTACAGCCTCTGAAAGATTTTTTGTTTCATAAAGTCTTGCAATGTGCTTAAAAAGAATTAAAGAAAAATGACAGCAAAATAATTACTTACAACGCTTAACAAACACACTTTATCTTAAATAATGACTCACTTTTTTTCTATGTAATTACAAGGTATATAATTTTATTAGTATTAGCTATCATTTCATGAAAGTTGCTACTAACAGAATCAAAATTAACAATAAATCATATTTATTTAACTCTTCCTTACAACTCTATTAGCAAACATAGATTTCAATGAACTTGCACCTTCTTTTCAAAAAAGGTCAGAAGCAAAGTAAATATTAATTCCCTATACTGAGACAAAGTTACCACATATTTTAAAGAAAACGATGTCTACTTTCTTATTACAAAAACCTAATTGTTATCTGGCATCTCATACTTAACAAATGATAAACATAAATCTTTAACACAGTTTTCAAAAAATTTAGAAAGTAAGCTATTTTTTTCTCAAAATCTGGAAATGACTTTAATAGATTCTCATCCATGTCAAGGGAAGCCATATTTCAATAGATGTTATTTAAAATGTATTCAAAAAAATTATGTACCATCAATCTTAAAAGCTAAGCTAGTTCTGGTGGGACATGGGTGATCTGGTGATGGGAAACCCGCAGGGATTACAATCGAGATGGAAAAAAAAATGTGCAAAATGATGTAAAAATAAACTTTTGTAATAATTTAAAAAAAAAGTTAAAAAAAAAAGCTAAGCTAGTTCTAGTCTAGTTCTATAAAGATTTTGTGCCACGTCAATTATACAGTTGGGAAAATCAAGGGTATGTAAAAAGACTATAGTCATAAATGTTCAATATTAAGTTCTTTAAACCATTTACTGCCTTGCTCTTGTTTTTGACAACACTGTTGTTGCTCTCTTAATGCCTTATCTTTATTCTTTATTCAGTACCCTCCCCACAAAGAAAACAGAACTATTCCTCAAAGTTTATTAGAGTTAAACACGGTAACTAAACAGATTTTGACTTTAAAAATCTGAGCAAGGCCCTCCTTGGTGGCACAGCAGGTTAAAGCACAGCACTGCCAATACAAACTAGCTGCAGCCACTTCAATGTGAGTTCGATCCCCGGCCCCAGAATGACCCACATGGTGAGGCAGACCTCTCCTGCCTTGCCAGCTGCTCCCCTCAGCAGTGTACTTCTTTAGTCTGTCTGTTCTGCTCCCCACTCTGTCTCTGGTGAGTCCTCTCACCACCCCATACCTCTAGCTTGTATCCCAGTTCTGTATGAATAAATAAGTCTTTTTTTTTTTAAATCCGAGCAAAAAAGTTATTTTAAGCCTTTGTCCATATTTGGATTCTTTAGAAATAGTTCTATCAACTAACACACCATTACATTCACATATTAATACCTACATTAGAAACATAACAAAATATATACCTGGTTTAAATAGTTAATTTCTGTTTCCACTTCATCTACTTCTTTCTTCAATTCAGATGAATGCTTGGAAAAACTACTGACCTGCTTAAGGATATCTTGTGTTTTCCCTCTCAAATTAACCCTTTTATGTTAAGGAACTATGTAATGGAAATACAATTTACATTTATAATATATGTATTATACAAGAAACATAGATATAATCATGTATGATGCCAGAATAATTTCTCCTCTGTAACATTATTTACATATGTCCCATATAAGCAAATAATAATATCAATAATAGTATCTGAAACAGATAAGACCAATTAGTTAGCAAAGATGATTTGTTTATCTATGTTAATTATTAAGCTTAAAAATGTTTCATCAGGTGCCCTCCCTGGTGGCGCAGCAGGTTAAAGCACTGGACTAAGAAGCTTAAGACACTTCCTCATGAGTTCGATTCCCGCCTGCCCCAGAGGAGATCCACATGGCCAGGCAGACCTCTCCTGACCCACCCGCTGCTCCCCTCAGCAGTGTACTTCATCGATCTGCCTGTTCTGCTCCCTACTCTCTCTCTGGTGAATCCGCTCACCCTCCGCATCTCTGGCCTGTACCCCAGTTCTATATGAATAAATAAAAATAAATCTTAAAAAAAATGTTTCAACCAATGGTTTCACTTACAGCAGGAGCATAAAGGACTAGGGGGAAAAAACTATATACCTGAGACATTTTATGGGGTGGAGTGGGGAATGGGATCAAAAATGGGTGGGGGGAAGGGCACTGGACTATGGTGATGGCACATGGGTGATCTGGTGTTGGGAAACCCACGGGAATTACAACTGAAATGAAAAAAGGCACAAAATGATGTAAAAATAAACTATTATATTATTTTTTAAAAGTTTCATCCAAAATACTGGTTGGATTTTTTATCTTTCAGCTATTTTCACAGGATGGTGTTTTATTTTGGCTTTTTTTTTTTTTAATGACTGTAGGGTTTTTATTTATTTGTGCATACAGAACTGGGGGTACAGGCCAGAGGCTCAGGGACGGTGAGAGGCTTCACCAGAGACAGAGTGGGGAACAGTACAGGCAGATCGACGAAGTACACTGCTGAGGGGAGCAGCGGGCGGGTCAGGAGAGGTCTGCCGCGCCATGTGGTCACCTCTGGGGCAGGCGGGAATCGAACTCATGCGGAAGCGGCTTTAGATTCTCAGTGCTGTGCTTTAACCCGCTGCGCCACCAGGGAGGGCCTATTTTGGCTTTTTAAAACAACTTAAGTTTCCGTTATTTATTCCAAAACTACCTTTCAAATTTCATCCAATTTCCCTTTTTATTGCTGGCAGTAAAAGCCATCAGTGCACCCTGAAGAACTTAGAAGACAATTAGATCTTTTCTATTTAAGCTGGGTTTCTACCCAATTTCAAATAGGGAATTTCTCAGCTGTTAACATACAAGATTTGTTATTGGCTAATACAAATTACTGAGGTATTCTACAATCATTTAGAAATGAATAGAATAATGGTGATTAACAAGAACATAAAAAAATGTTTTAGGTATTTTCAGCATGTAATCTTACATGTCATCTTATCCTATATCCAGTTTCCTAACTCTCCACAATATCTTCTGCACCTATCAATCTCTATCCTTTGCCATTGACAAGTTAAAACATAGATGGACCACAAATGAATACTAAGAACACGATAAGCTGAAACCAACATGTAGAGAGTAAGCAACAAAGAAGTTAAAAGGAAGATTTAGAATGAAGCAAATAAAGCAAGACAAAGCACAAGGACATAAAAATCTTAGCACAAATAGTCGTGTTATATTCTGATAGGAAAGCATATGAAGAATTATGGAGTTTAGAAGAAAATTAAAGTCCCAAGATCATACTAGAGAAAATCTTGACAAACATGAGACTAGAACAATTAAGAATTACGTAAGCATCTAGCAATGTCATTAATTGTTCATGTAGACTCTCTACTAAACTGTGAGCTCCTTGCAAGTTTTGTATGGATTTGCCCCATTATCCAAAAATACAATGTTCCCACCTAGCGTGATTTGGTAAGTTATTTTTGGGGTCTGAGAATGCTCAAAATTTTTTCCATAAAAATAAATGGAAATAGCATTTTCATCCAAAAAATAGTAATAATCTATGAAATTACACCAAATAAGAACACTCTACTTTCAGACAGAGAGGAAAGCTGTATCTTCTTGTGTACTGCCTGGCACAACATGGATATCCAAGGAATTTCTATATATGAACAATTGATTTAACTAGAATTCTGTCTTTAGTAAGACAGAGATGATTTTTTTCACTGGTTTATTCACTAAGAATTATAAAGTCATAAAGTCATATACATATACACTTGATTCTCATTAAAAATGCTTGCTTCTGACTAAATACTCATATATGAAAATAAAATCCAGATGACCTTTAAAGTAACTTCTAAGATATTTAAATTAAATATTGAAAAAATTCATGTGACTTTCTCCAAGGAAGCATAATGGCAATTAAAATGCAGAAATAAAACTTTTCTAACTTCTAAAAATACAATCCCACGTAGAAATACTAATGTGGATACATGTGTAATGCCCATTTAGTAAGTGATGGAAAAGGAGCAGGCACTGAAAAACAAAGTCATATTTTAGACTGATACATTATTTTCATTACAAAAATACTATTATTAAAACTATAACAAATTGTAAGTACCTAGAAATTCTATAAAAATAGTTTCATTCATTTTTAGTTCTTCAGTATATGCTAACACTCTGCTTTGAATTTCTTCATGTTCTCTTTTCTTCTCATAATATTCTTGTGAAAGAGGTGTTTCAGAGTATTTTAGTTGATACTGCTTCAAAACATCTTTATACTGACATACATAGTCATGATACATTTTTCTGTTAAATGAAAATAAATTATGTTGACATAACAACTTTATCTAAAAACTCTCTACATATCACTTGTTAAGTCTACTAAATTAAGCGTAAGTCAAGCATCTGCTATGCATGCTTCATCCAATGCTGTATGCCTTACTTAACTTTATCATACTTTTAATTATCAACTCTTTTCACTACCTGAGTTATTATATTTACTCCCCAAGACCATGTGATTTTACACATAATAAAATAATATTGGTGTTTCTCCATCAGATTGTAACACCTCACTAATTCAGCACTCTTTTAAAACAGAGGTTTGGCATAAAATACTCTAAGTAAACACACTCACTTTTTCATAAGCTAATTCTATAGCTAATTATCCCCCCAGATGTTTGCCTGTAACAATTCAGTCATAAATCCCATTAATTGAAGCACCATACCATAGTTAAGTGCTACTGTTAAACAGTTTCTAAACAAATACAGGGTTCAAGAGCTATATAAAAAATTAGGTATACCTCTAATGATAACCAAAAAATTAGGTAGACTTCTAATGGTAACCAAAAAATACAAACCACAATATATAAACCCCTCCCATATACAAAATTTCTACATTTTTCATTTAACATTCTTATCAAAGCATGTCCTATTAATACTAATTTATTAGACTGATGAGCTTAAATAGATGTACTGTACTTGTCTTTTTCAATAGCTTCTTGATAAACAGCAAACTGATCCTGCATATAGTCCTCATGTTTATGAAAAACATCACAGGTTGGTTTCCAGCTATGAAAAAAAAATTTCAATTAGCATCTCAGAATTGTAAGTAAAGTAAGAGATAATAAAAATTAACATGATCACTTAAAGACAAAGAAATTCTTCTCATGCTGGATAAACAACAAACTTACATGGAGAAAAACACTCCTATCTCCTGTTATCATTACTGTCACCATTCATGCAACTAAAAGATGCTCAAGTACCAGTATTCATTAATTTTACATATAACTTGCTTAGGAATCACGACTAGTAAAGGAATAAATATGATATGGCATCTATGCAACATTCCAATGTTCTTGTTCCTCATATGTCTAAGATGTTAAGAAATTACTTTGGAAAAAGTATCCAAAGAGCTAGGATAAGGGATTTTTCTCCTTTGCAACTTAAAAAGGGAGGTTTTACAATCTCCTCAGTTGGAAAGAGAGAACCCAGGATGAAATTAATTATAAAATCAGATAGAATAAATCTTACACATTTTTTTATTATGTGACAAAAATGTTACCAATGTAAAATAAATGAAAATTAGGATATGCCTCGAAGGTTTCCAACTATTATTCAAATATTCGCTCTCTTTTTTCTAGTCTTTTATTTTTTCATATTCAAAAAGTATACATTCCCACTTTAGAAGCACAGAAAAGACCATTTAAGAAGGTAACTTATCTATATAAGTACACTGAATAACTATTATTTTAATAAATTATCTGTTATTTTACTATATATATACATATATTTTAACACTTTCAGACCATATTCTGCCTGTTCTGCTCCCCGCTCTGACTCCAGTGAATCCTCTCACTGCCCCTGCACCTCTAGCCTATACCCCAGTTCTTAAATCTTAAAAGTAAGTATCACTTACTTTTAAAGTTTTTAATAAATATATCAAACAAACTCCACAATTTTTAAAAAAGATTTATTCATTTATGCATATAGAACTGGGGTATAGGCCAGAGGTGCAGGGGCAGTGAGAAGATTTACCAGAAAACAGACTGGGGAGCAAGATGGGCAGATGGACGAAGCAGACTGTTGAGGGGAGCAGTGGACAGAAGAGCCAAGAGAGGTCTCTCATGTTGATCACCTCCGGGCTGAGCATCAAACTCGCACTGAAGTGGCAGTACTTGGCTTGCAGTGCTTCGTCCTAACCCGTTGCGCCATCAGAGAGGATCCTCAAACACCATAATTTAATCATTCCCATTTTGTTCACCAATTTTGCTTACTCCAGGTTTCTCTGCTGTAAACAGAACTTGTACTTAAAATGTTTGTCTGAATTTCTAATAATTTTATTGGAGACTATTCTTCAAATGAAATATAATTCAAAGGTTACATATACAAACATTTGAGTATTTTTTAAAATCCTTAAGAAGGCCTCCCTGGTGAGCTAGGGGCTGTCTTTGCACTACCAACTTGAGTGCCCTCCACTATGGCCTGTGCTTGGTTCCAGCCAGGGAGCTAACCCATGCCGCATACCCATTGCTCCCCTTAGCTGTGTATTTCAGTAGATCTGCCTGTTCTGCTCCCTATTCTGTCTCTGGTAAATCCTCTCACCCCCGCCCCCGACCCCACATTTTTGGCCTACACCCCCGTTATTCTACGCATAAATAAATAAAAAATTCTTTTACCGGGCCCTCCCTGGTGGCGCAGCAGGTTAAAGCACAGCACTAAGAAGCTAAAGCCACTTCAGCATGAGTTCGCTCCCCACCCCGGAGGTGATCCATATGGCATGGCAGACCTCTCCTGACCTACCCACTGCTCCCCTCAGCAGTGTACTTTGTCAAACTGCCTGTTTTGCTCCCCACTCTGTCTCCAGTGAATCCTCTCACTGCCCCTGCACCTCTGGCCTATACCCCAGTTCTGTATGCATAAATAAATAAATCTTAAAAGAACAAAAACAAACAAAAAGATTCTTTTACCAAAAATCCAAAAGAAATACTTGCTCACTAAAATGATATTCAGTGTAAGCACTTTGATACACACGTTTTCTAAATGTATATAAATATACAAGTACTAAATATACAAGTCATACTGTGAATGTTACTATGAATACTGCTTTGTTTAACTCGTAATACACTATTAAGATCTTTCCATGTCAACAAATATACACTTACATAATAATTTTATGAGCTAATATTCATTCATATGAATATACCAAGTTACCGAATGTTGAACATTAGATTTGCTTCCAGTTTTCCTATCATAAAAAAGGTTGGAATAACTACCTTGTTATAATTCTATCTTTGAGAGAATACCTAATTATTTCCTTATGAAAATTTCTCAGGAATTAAACTTTTTAATCAGACAGTTTTTTTAAAATACATTAATATATCATACAAAAGATACCAATATATACTCCTATGATGTGTCAGAATTGATTTTTGTTACTCCCTGGCCAACACTGGTATTATCTTTCTTTAACTTTTTATAAGGTAGAATTGATTTAATTTGTATGTCTCTGATTATCAGTAAGATTAAATATCTATCCACATGTTTATTAGATTTATATTTTTCTTCATGTTCATATTCACCTGTTTATCTTTACTCTTTTGCTTAGCGGGCCTTTTCTTTTCTTACATATGTTTTAATTTGCCTGTATTTTTAACATTTCACTACTTTATCCTTTTACCTTTTACATCATTTTGGCATATGTATTTTTTAATTTGTATGTAGACACATTTATCCACTGCTTTCTAGTGGATGCATTAGGACTCTGATCTTTAGTGACTTACTGAGAAAGACCTCTTAAAAATTACATGATCACCTTTATTTTCTTGTAGTTCTTTCATTAATTCATATTTCACATTTAAATTTCTTAGCAGATGCTAAAATTATGAACTGCAGGTACTTATGTCATTAAAAATCAGCAGTGGTTGGCCCTCCCTGGTGGCGCAGCAAGTTTAAGCACTGCACTAAGAAGCTAAAGCCACTTCCGCATGAGTTCGATCCCCGCCTGCCCCAAAGGTGACCACATGGCGCGGCAGACCTCTCCTGACCCGCCCGCTGCTCCCCTCAGCAGTGTACTTAGTCCATCTGCCTGTTCTGCTCTCTGTTCTATCTCCGGTGAATCCTATCACCCCCCCCGCATCTCTGGCCTGTACCCCAGCTCTGTATGAATAAAAAAAAATCAGCAGTGGTTATGCTGTATAAAGTATGTACATCTTGGATATGACAGATTCTAAGGAAAACATTCAATGCCTTTTCCAGCACCCACTGTTGCTCTTTGAGGGCAACCATTGGTAAAAACCTAGTGCAATAAGACATAAATTGAGTCAAAAAGCTCAAAAATATGCAGTTTTTTAATCAAATTGTCAAAAATTTTAACACCGATAATTCCAGTTAGCAAGAGTTTGAAGAAATGGGAACTCTCATACACTGTCAGTAGGAATATAAATTAGCATAATTCTTCTGGGAGAGCAGTTTGTTATTATTAAATGTTTAAGTGTGCATACTCTGCTCTAGTTGGTTTCTACAAATCCATTCTATAGTAACATGTCTGTAAATGTGGAAGGATCTCTTTACATGTTGTTTATAACACAGAAAAACTAGGAACTACTTTCTCATTAATAGGAGAATGGTTAAATAACTTAGGATCCATACAATTCTGTAGCACGATTAAAAAAATGAAATCTACACATAATCATGACACATATATCAAATATGATACATATTGCTAAATTTTAAGAAACAAATTGAAGAATAAGTAGGGCATGCTTCCATTTTTTGCAAAAAAGGAAAGATATATAAATAAATGTGTATATAAGTATATGTAATAATGATGCTGAATTTTTACTGGAAAAGGTATGATAGGATACTCAAAACTGTTAAGAGTTATCCATAAAAGAGGAGAGGGTAGGAAGTACATGAAGGGAAAAACATTTCTATAATTTCTAAATTTTTATACTAGGTATATGTTACTTTAAAACCAGTATAAAAAAATGTGGGAAAAAAACACTGAAAGGCTTACTAAAAATTCTGACTAACAAACACTTCTTTTTAATAACAAACACTTTAAGACAAGCATAAGTCTATAGTAGTTAAGTCTATAGTAGTAAAGCACAGGAAATGAACACATTTTTATAAGTATTTATAATATACAATAAAGTTCCACTAGCAACTCCTTGTTTCAAAATGTTTGTCCTACTTAATAGAATTCAGAATCTGAGTTAACATGGGGTACTTTTATTTTGAAAGGCTGCTAATTCTTAAGGGTAAACTCCTATAGCCAAAAATAGGACCTTTAATATTCAAACATGAAAACAATTTCTTAGTTATCTAATATGAATTTTGTATACTGAGTCTAGATTATCAAAAATTTGTATTTAAGCTAACTGTTCCTGAATTAGAAAACTCTTATAGTACTTACTTTGATTTTTCTTTTGACCCCTGATAACTTTTTAGAGGCATTTAATAAGACAATTTAAGATTTGATTTATCATTTTGCTAATAATAAAATGCTACTTTAAAGCACCAATATCTTCAACAATAAACTCAGAAACATTGAATAAAACAATCTAGTGACAATTATTAAGCAATCATTTCTTTCAAATACTTACTTACTACAACTGTCTTTGATCTCCTCACTATGTTTACAGTAATGACCAATTTCCTCATCTGTTGTTTTTATAGTTTCATGTATTTTACTAATCATTGTTTTGCTTTGTTTAATATCTTCACAGCATTCTACAAGAAGAAAAAGTTTATTTTCTTAAAGTACAAATGGTAACTTCAATATAAAGAAATATAGTAGAAAAGCGGCATGAGTAGGTTCTCCTACTTAAAGGAGGAGAGCCAGAGAATGGAGAGGAAAGGAGCTTGAAATGGGAAGGGTCCTGTACTACTACAAAATATAGGCGAAATCTGCAGAACCAAACCAGGTTCATTTAGTCTTTGTCACAGAAGCTTTATGTTTGGGGTGAAGAAAAATTAATATCATCCTTAACATAAAAATGTTAGTTTAAGTGACATCTAAGATCATGGAATCTTATGAAGATAAAAGTTCATGTAAACATTGACATGATACTCACATGAGAGTTTTGTTTATGACAAATGTAAAATAGTCATTAATTCCATGTGAATTAGTTACTAATTATTTCAACCCAGTTGTTACAAGCAACACAACATAAAAATCAAGTGACTCTTAACACTCTGCTTTTTTGTGGAAGAAAGTAACTAAATTTTACTTAAGAGCTATTAAGAACAACTGTATTTTCTTTTGATCTAAAAATAATTTATGCAATTTGCCTTGCCATTTCATTCACATAATTTTTCAGAATTATTATTCCTGAAAGTGTGGCACCCACAAATCCTGGTTTCTAATTTTTAGTGATTTCTACAGAAATTTCTAAGAATTCAGTCAAGTATTTCTAAGTACCTCTGTTATCTGAGAAAAACAACATATCTTCAACTGCATCGAAGGGGACATTTCAGCTTAAAGCACAATTCCTCAAGACAAAATAATTTAACTACTGAATACAGAAAGTAGTCAAAAACTGTAATTAGGGTAAATACCTCATTATTAGTGAGTGGATAGAACCTGAACAAAAGTCAACATGCCAACTGGATGTTACCCCCAAAACAAGGCATCTGCATGTTACTTTCTATAGCACAAAAAGACTAAAATACACTTGTCATACAGAACAACACTACTTACTATTAATCCGTTGAATCATATCTTCCTTAGTACTTCTATCTTGCTCATACTGGAAAACTAAAATAAATAATTCTTTCGTGACTTCATTGTTAAAATCAAATGATAATATAAATGTTCTCTGTATTTTCATTTTACACCTACCAAATTCTAGTAGAAGTCTATCCAAAGTGGCAAACAGGCTGTCATTCATCTTGGACACTATGGTTAAAAAAAAAAAAAAGGAATATATATATATTCCTTATATATATATAAGGAATTTTCGGGGTCTATGCAAAACAGCAGAAGCATATACTGGGCAACAGGCTTTAACACAGCACTCCTCACAGAAAAATGAGGATGGCGCAAGAACTGGGAAGGAGAGCCACGGCCTGGTAGGCACCTCAACACTTGACTGTCGCTGCTGACTGAAACTTGCTCGCACGTTTGTCTAGATCTTCTGGACATCCAGAAGACATTCACCGACATCCGTGTTTTTCAAAAGGAAGTAAACAAATTAAACACTATCTCTGAACGTGTCCTCTCTCGTGTGTATACAACTTTACGTGTAACAAGAGTCCTGAAGAAAATTGCTTCGCCATCAGCGAGGTAAAACCCACAGGAATTGTGCGCCTTTACACTTTTGAATGTACCACCAAGAAAAGCCAACAGTGGACGCTCCCAAGGGCCCGCCAGGTCGCGGCACCAACTACGCCTGAGGCGGGGTTTCTAAGACTAGGTCGCCGCTCAGCCTGGCGCCACCCTCCCCGCGAGCTGAGGGCCGATGTCCCCGGCCCCGCTTCGCCTCGCCTCGCTCCCCGCCCGTCACCAGCACTGCAACCGCCTCGCGGCGACACCCACAGCCTCCGGAGCCACCGCGCCCGACGTCGAGGGTCGCACCGAGAAGCCTCCAGAAGGCGACCTCTCGTCATACTCCGGGAACAAAGCTGCGGACCGGACCCTGGGCTGAGCCCTGCCAGGGCTGCCGTTCTCCCGCCCACCTTAGCTGCCCTCAGGACTCGAGCGACGCGGGGTGCCAGGTTTCACTCAGGATCTCGAGCGGGGAGGGGGTCCAGCCGCAGAGCCGCAGTCTGACCCGCGCAGCAGCAGCACCTAGTTCCACAGAGCCGCAGCGGCAGGTCGCGCTGACAAGCCAAGCTGCCGGGGAGACTCGAGCCCCGCGAGGCCAGGCTCCCGCGAGACCCGGAGCCCCGCGAGACCGGCTCCCGCGAGACCGAGATCCCCGCAAGAACGAAACCCACGCGAGACCCGGCTCCCGCGACACTGAGACCCCCGCGAGACCGGATCCCGCGAGATCTTGGTCTCCCAAGACTGAGACGCCCGCGAGACCCATTCCCCGAGGAACACCTGGTTCCCTGTGAGACAGAGATATCTGTGGGATGGAGACCCCCTGCCCACAGCCATGGCACTTTCCTTCCAAGACCAAGTACCTTGTAACCCGGAAATGGGAGCTGGAGACAGGTGATTTTTTTTTTTAAAAAGTAGGGCACCTGTCAGTATCTCTCCTGTTGCCTTAAAGACAACTTTTGTGTGTGTGTGTGTGTGTGTGTGTGTGTATTTATTTATTTAAGAAAAGACAATTCATTCCTCTTGTAACCGTTCAAAAAATACTTTGGAGAACAGCCATAAAATTAACTTTAGTATTAATGTTAATTTAATGCTAACATGACAGTAAATACTAAAGTGCCAAATTTTACATTAACTTTAATGTGACAGCAAAAACAAAAACATTCGTTGAAATTCAATTTTGCATTCAGCATTTTCTTAAAAAGCAAGCACAGATTTTACTCATTTTCATTCAACAAATGAGTGATGCATGTGTTTTAGTATCAAATGTAGTGCACATGAGCAAATTCTGTCCAATATGCTGTCTTTAGATGATGTATGTTGTTAAACTGCCTAGTAAAGTGAAATAGAAAGAAGAAAAATAAACATGTCAGTCCCCCCAACTTGCCTTAATTGTTAGTATATTTCTATGTAGTGTTTATAATATTAAATGATCTAAATAATGCCTCAGCTAATTATAGCCTTAAGTGATTTCACAAATTATTAGACTGAAAAAGAAACTTTCAGCAGTGTTTTGGGGACAAGTATCTCAGGTCAGGTATGCATAGCAATTTTATTATGATGTGATGTAATGTTGCTCTTGTAGTACCTATAGTAAGTCATCAAAACCACTGTCAGCTTGATGATGTAAGAGAGTGAGCAGCTTTATTTTTATACTTGATTTCAGTACATTTATTAACCACCCCCTCTTTAGGATAACATGAGAGAATGAAGTAAGTTATTGTTTAGTTTTGCTAGGACTGTCAAGGAAATTTGGTAAGTGAAAAGGGTTGCTACGTTCAACTTAATGGTATATTTTCTATGAAGATTGGTGTAAACCTAGAACACTACTTTACATAAAAATCAAATTTGTCTACATTTAGATTTTTATATGTCCATATTTTGGTTATTGTCATGAAAATATACATGAGTTTGTTTCATTTTAAAAACTCCTTCTGGAAAAGCAATGAGGATGAAGATGCTCCATCTACTGAAAAGTTTTAAATAATAAATTTAACTCCTCCCTCTAAAAACTCCCAGTGAAATAGAGTGCTCCATTTGAAAACTTATAAAGCATTGGCTCATTTATTCTAACAAATCACTTTCTGGGAAATGATTTCCCTAAGACAAAATTCTCTCCCACCTATTATTAGCATCTTCCCCTCTTACACACAAATCAGAATCTGAAGAAATCCTTAACTAAACCCCCTGCCCATTCTAATTGTGTGCTATATTCCTATTCTTCTTTTATGGTTAACTTATAAAATAAAAAGCTTGTCTCTCACCTACAATTCCTTTCCATGGTGACATTTTCACTCTGCCACAATCCCATCATATTTAACTGCTTTCTCAATTGATAAGGTGTTTTAATCCCAAATTTCTACAACCTTTTTCAATACTTCTTGTTCAGTAACAGTTCAGTAGTTCTAGTCCACTTCTGGCTTCTACTTTCCCTGTCACCATCATGATTCTGCTATATACTGTTATCAAAGCTTTTTCTTTAATTCTATTTTCTAAACTACCTTCTTTGGATTATTCATCCATAATGGCTTCAGTTCAATTGTGTGCTTAAAACTGCCAAATATTGGGCCCTCCCTGGTGGTGCAGCGGGTTAAAGCACAGCACTAAGAAGCAAAAGCCACTTGCGCATGAGTTCGATCCCAGCACTTGCGCATGAGTTCGATGCCCGCCTGCCACGGAGGTGACCACATGGCGTCGCAGACCTCTCTTGACCCGCCCGCTCCTCCCCTCAGCAGTGTACTTCGTCTATCTGCCTGTTCTGTCCCCACTCTGTCTCTGGTGAAGCCTCTTGCTGCCCCTGAGCCTCTGACCTGTACCCCACTTCTGTATGTGCAAAATAAATAGATTAAAAAAAAACCTGCCAAATCTTTAGTTCCAGTCTTCTTCTATTACATGAGAGTTGTCCAAATATTTACATGTTTTTCCGATCATTTTATGTTCTATCTGATCTAAATCCAAAATCATCTCTTCCTCTTCCTCTAACATACAGTCTCAGTGTCACAGTAATTCTCCCAGAAATCAATAAAAAAAAAACAGTTGATATCTATTATGATTCATTACTCCTGTAAACTCTCATAAATAATGCACTAAGGCTTGTTGATTTTTCTTTAGTATAGCCTTTATATTAAATCAACTCTGAAAATTGTCTCTGCAGTCAGATTGGAATTCAGCATCTGGTTCTAATATTTGTTAAGTTAAAGTTCTTGAGGAATTTTCTAAGCTAGGCTTCAGTATCCTCAAATACAAAACAAGACACAGTATCTCTAATAAATTTATCTCCTCTTTCAGACTCATTCTTTTCTACTCAGCTATTAAATGTTACAAATTACTTAAGGCTTGATCTTACCCCTTTTCTTATTCTTTACTCCAGTTTTAAGTTATCTCTTTCCTATCCACAGCTTCCAATACAACTACTGTGCATGATGCTCACAGATGCATATCTCTAGTCTGGACCTAGAAATCAATCTAAGTCCTTAGTGGCAAGCAATAGAAGTTGATTCTGATGATTTAAGCAAATCATACTTCTAAAATTTGTTAAAAGTATGCTGTGTGAAAAACACTGACTCAAAAAGACACCTTCACCCCCATGTTTATTGTTGCTTTTATTTACAATAGCAAAGACATGGAATCAACTCAAATGCCCAAAAGTCGATGATTAAAAGATGTGGTACATATACACAATGGAATATTACTCAACGATCAAAAAAGATAAGCACTGCCTTTTGCAGCAACATGTATGGAGCTGGAAGAGATCATGCTTAGTGGAATAAGCCAGAAAGAAAAAGAAAAATACTGAATGATATCACTCATAGCAGGAGCATAAAGGACCAAGGGAATAATAATAATAATAATAATGAACAACTATATACCAGAGATATTTTACAGAGGTGGAGTGTGGATATTTTACAGCATATAATAATAATAATAATGAACAACTATATACCAGAGATATTTTACAGAGGTGGAGTGTGGATATTTTACAGCATATAATAATAATAATAATGAACAACTATATACAGAGATCTTTTACAGAGGTGGATAAAAAGCGGAGGTGGGAGGAAGTGCATTGGACTATGGTGATGGCACACAGGTGATTTGGTGATGGTAAGCCCACGGGAATTACAACTGAGACGGAAAAAGGCACAAAATTATGTAAAAATAAGTTACTATAATAAAAAAAGTAAAAAGGGAAACTTAAAAAATCCCTTGCTTTAAAAAAAAAAAAGTATGCTGTGTGGGGTCTCCATGGTGGTGTAAGGGTTAAGTCTTAGGACTGTCACCCATGTGGCAAGAAATCTATCCCCAGCCAGGGAGCTAACCCAGGTGATTCAGCAGACTTTTGTCTCCCCTACTGCTCCCTCAGCTATGTATTTTATTAGATCTACCTGTTCTGCTTCCCATTCAATCTCTAGTAAATCTCTCCACATATACATACCTACACCTCTGGTCTATACCCCTGTTGTATGCATAAATAAATTTAAAAAAAAAATTTTTAAAGTACACTGTTTTATAAAATCCCCAAAATAGCTAGAAAAATTGGTTTGGAAATTACAAAGCAAGAAGCAGTGCCCAGATGCATGTCATTAGACAGCAGAACCACAATCCAACACTGCAGCTCAAACCATTACCAATAGCACAAGATGTCTCTGTCCCTAACACTACCACATCTGCCCTACAAACTTGATTTCAACCAACACCACTGTAAGAGAGAAGTCTTTCTAGAATATGCTGCTTTCTGTCACTCATTCCCAATTCAAAATTTTAGGTGGTTACATTTGATTTGAGAAACCTATTTTGCATACTCTATCTCTTCTTTCCTCCCAGACTGTTAAAATAGGAAATTCTCCAACATAACGAGTGGATTTAAATGGGGGAAATCAAAATAATATTAACTTTTCATAATACTGACCTTCTGAGTTTCAGATTCACGTATATAATTGTTTATATAATATGCCAAAACAACTCATGTTTTCCTCTCATTTCTGCTGGTCCTTTTTCATTTCTCTTTTCATGAATGGGGTCATTATCCATTTGCATATATGGCAGAAATTTAGACCTATAATCTGATCTCAACTTTATTTTCCAAAAAAATAATTCTTCATTTTGTGCCCTCCCTGGTGGCACAGAATTTTAAAGCACTTAGAAGCTAAAGCCACTTATGCAATCGATTCCCACCTGGGAAGTGATCCACATGGCACAGCAGATCTCTCCTGACCCACCCACTGCTCCCCTCAGCAGTGTACTTTGTCAGTCTGCCTGTTCTGCTCCCCACTCTGTCTCTGGTGAAGCTTCTCACCGCCCCTGCACCTCTGGCCCACACCCCAGTTTTATATGCATAAATAAATAAACTTTTTAAAAAATTCTACATTTTAAGCATGTCGTTTTTTTCAACAACTAGTGAAGATACTATGGTCATTTAAGCCTCCATTGCTTTGTGTTCAGGTTCCTCTCAATAGGACAACTGCTTCTTGACACAATCAAGACCCATCCATTCTTCAGAATTCAGCTTTCCCAGACACACCATTTCCCCAAAGT